GTCGGCGGAACACCAGAGCAAGGACAGCCGCGTCTTTGGCAGATTTCCACAAGGCGACGAAGTCCTTCGTTTTCTTTTTCACGAGGCAACTTTTCATGCATTTGGTAGTCTGTCCAACCTTTTTGAAATATTCAGGGTCTCTATTTTGTTGGTTGTAATACATGTGAAGCTGGTTTTCGACAACTTTTAGTTCCCCACCCAGTATAAGCGCCATTTCAGAGAGCTCTGGAGTCAAGTTTTCTGTAGCCACGGCGTTGTACATCTTGAAAATTTGTTTGACATGCTTGAAAGGCCTTTTCATATCCCAATTATCCTCGTTTTCAATAACATCTTCTGTTTCGGGCTTTGCCTTTAGATCCCCAATGTCTGGAATGGTTGATGCCATCGTTGGTGTCGCTGGTGTTAAGATGGAGTACAGTTTTTGTGAGACAGGGCTTACAACGTAAAGATCCTGAAAAATAAAAGGGTAAATCACGCTACATGAAGAGAGAGAGAGAGAGAGAGAGAGAGAGAGAGAGAGAGAGAGAGAGAGAGAAATAAAAGGCATAGAATGTCATCAATTCTCCAAACTATGTCACTAAATCAAGACAGTCTGAGAAAAGCACTGAACCATCAGCATATTCAATTGAAATTTTACAAAGGGACTTATAAAGCATATATAGAATTTTTTCAAAACTCATTTATCAAAATTCTAGACTTGTAAAAAGATCAGAAACTAATAATCTACTTTCCTTTAAAGGAAAAAAAATGCCCCACTGATAAAATAATCAGACAAAAAAAATAATAAAATGAAATATATTTATACTTTAGGTATAATACATATGTCATCTTTATTTTTACCTTTGTGTTCTGCAGTGAGTCTCATGGACACCACATCTGAGCCACTGGTGGTCTCACTCATGGCTAGGGCCCCAATGTGCTCACCACTGATTAACTGAAATACAGAGGGAATACTGTCAGGCTTTGGGATGCTAAAATGAATGCCTGTTACACATAATGATTGGAAATTTTGAAGTAAAATGATGACTTTTTCAACAGGGAATTTTAACATGCATGGCAGTCCCCCATACACCAAACAAAATGCCAGAAATGTAGAAAATCTTTTTATGTAAGAAAGTCTTATCTTATGTCACTCAAACAATAATGTTTGCTCAATTTTTATCAACTGAATTACTGTGAACCTTGGAGAAAAATTTTCTTGGTAGTTTTAGTTTAACTATTTTTTTGAGGATAAAAGACTAATATATAAGNCTACAAATAAAGTGCTTTCACATTTAAAGGGGACTTCATTAACTTGAGATCAATTTCAATTATTCAGTAAATAAGGTTTTTATTTATTGTTATGAACCAAGTGAACAAACCAGATCTATTTTTTTCAGTCAATGCCATTTGTACCGTAAATTCCTGATGAAGTGATACACTGACATACATAACCCTTACATATAACTTTCAGTTTTTTTTTCACCAGTAATATATTATGGTGAATTCTAGATAGTTTAATTTCAAATAAATAAAATAAATAATTGCTGAGCAGCATTCATTACAGTAGTAAATCAGTCTGTACTCATATTTGTGTCACTTGTTCAAAAATATTCCAGCAATTAAGATTACATCATAAAACCCACCCTTCACCCTGAAATTTATACTATTGCTTCCATATTGTGTGAAATCCTCAGAGAATAATCAGCATTCAACTCAACACCTTTTATCCCACCAACAAAATGCATCCTTCAATGTGCGAATTGACAATGTGGTTGATAAAAAAACATGGTCAAATAGTTATTAATTGGGAAGGAAAAACAATCATTCAATTAAATTGAAGTCATGATTCCTTGTTTTTCCAATATTTCTACCATTCTCTGATTCACCCAGTACTTGAAGCAGACTGTAGCAATCTCATTTACATGAAATATCTAAATGCATTTTTTAATTTCCCTGAATGGAAACATTTTAACTGGCAATATATATAAGGCATGCTTTTAGCATCTCTTCCTGGTAGACCTTGAACTTGATGACCTTCACCTTGATTTTACACCATACTCAGCATTAAGGCTCCTGCCTATGACTAGTCTTCTCACTTCACTGGTACCAGCCCCTATCTCATACAGCTTGGCATCTCTGAGGAAACGACCTGTTGGATAATCATTAATGTATCCATTTCCACCTAAAAATAGACCAAAAATTAATGAATTTTTGTCTTCATTCTGAAGAAAATCACCTTTTATTTCTGAAAAAAATCACCACATTGACATAAACTTTTTACTTGAAATCATGTGACTTCTTTTTTCATTTCAAAGAAGTTATGGAGGCACCAACAAGGTCACTGACTAAACTTAATTTTTTTCTTTTTCTTTCCTTTTTTTTTTTTTTTTTTTTTTTTTTTGTGGAGAAAACACTCTGTATAGCCTGCTCTGTACTACTCGATATCTGCATTGTACTAAATATTTGTAAATGTAAGTGTACTGCTACCACTTAACATACTGACTACTGGACAGCCTTGGCAGTTGTTATAACAACAAAAGTGGCTATTTATATCTAACTTTAATCCTGAAAATGTTCGTAATTTGAATTCACTGTTAATAATATCAAACTGTCAAACTAAATGTCAGTTAAAGAAGTGACATGACAGAAACCAGTTGCATGCTTGATTGGGTTTAGTTCTATACAATGTTTCCATATCATACGCTCCCCATAAATACAACTTGGTAGAGGCACATATGTGACATTCCTTAAACAACGCAACAAGGCAAATATTATACCAGAACCTACTGTTTATATCTCTTCACCATGAGATCTGCCTAACAACAAAAGTACAATTCACATTGTGGTCTATATGTTTTATATTTCCCATTATCCCTTTGACAGTATTAGCACACTTAGTTGACAATGAGCAATTTACTGTTTACAAGACAAACAATTTCACTACCTGTAACATAAAAAAAAAAAGAAAAGTTCAACTCACCCAGTATCTGAATGGCATCTAATGCAACTTTTGTTGCTGCTTCAGCTGTGTACAGTATAACAGCAGCACAGTCCTGAAGTGTAATCAAATATCAATAGGTAAGACAATGCTGTTTTATCTTAAAATAGTCCATTGATTTTCATGTAATTTGTCCTTTTCATCTCACTATAGTTTTACATTATAATGGTTTAATTGTAATACTTACATTGTAATACTTACTAAAACAGCAATATAAAGTCTAATGCTTAAAACATTAGTCTATTTCACAAAGTTCTGCACTGAACAAAGGATCAGACCTCTCTCTCTCTCTGTGTGACGTGCGTGAATACAATCAAGAAAGTATTACAATAAATACACTCTTGGTAAAATGAGGCAACATTCTTGGTAATCCATTCTTATATGTAAGGAAACAAAAGTGTGCTAGCATTTAGCCATTTAGTGTGTTAGGCTTGCCTACACAGAGTCCCAAGGATGCAAACACTGAGGCACTTGGCCTGCCAAGACAAAGTCTCTAAGGATGTTGACACTGAGTTTTTAAGTTCTAATTTCTGTGCTTACCTTGGGTATGACATTCCCTCTGTCCAAGGACCTGGCAACATTATACACATAACATCTGGAGGCATTCAGGATAGTGTACATGTCAGCCATCTTACCTTGGAGTAACTGGGAACAGATTATCACTAAGTTTATTTCAAAAATTACTGTACATAGTTTTAACTGATACAAAGTCTTCCATTGTAAGACAAACTATTTCACAGTACAACTTTAACTTGAAGTTCAAAACTGTACAAATCTGATGAATGATTGTTAAATCTATTTTTGACAGAAAGGGTTTTAGCACTTCTGATAAATTTTAGTGATGAATATTCAATTTGGTGATAAAATATTTCGAAGTACCTGGAAAGTTCCAATCTTCTGGTTGAATTGTTCTCTTTCGTGAGCATATTGGAAAGCCATATCACAGGCAGCTTGCATAATACTGTAAGTTAAATGTGACTTCTCTAAATCCTTTTAGCATTTTATTGAAACGCAGTTTTTCCCATTATATTGAAAACAAACAAAAATTTTGTTTTGTGCATGTGTGGATACCACAATCACTGTTATGTAAGATAAAATCAATATAATAATGTTACTGAAAAAAAGGAGACAAAAACTACTGCATATAATTTGCTTTACTGGCACACACAATGCCAGTGTTGTTGTGAATATTGATGACCCCCTCCCTTCACTTACCCTATTGGGCCAGCAGCTAGGAACAGCCTTTCAATATCAAGCCCACTCATCAACACATAGACCCCCTTGTTTGTCTCACCAACCACATTTTCCACTATAAGCACAGATCAAGAGAATTAGAAGAGCAGTGATTGATTATCTCTCTTTCATCAGGGCGCACTAAAAACGGACTCATATCATCAGAACTCTGGACTCCCTACCAACCTACCCCCTTCCCTGCAGTGTGTAGGAGCCTGTCCTAATGGGAGCGTGTGGGTGTGTCAGATTGTGCTCATTGTGTTAGGTGTGCTCACCCAAGACATCCTGCCCCTCCTAATGCTCTCTCTATATCCAAACCACTCATCAGGATATATATGCCTTTCCCCTCACCACCAATTATATTTTCCTCTTCAAAGTAAAAATGGAAGTTTTGAGGAAAACATAAAGCACATGCATGACTCATTTTTTCCAGGTTAAAAAATTCAATCTTCCAGGAAATAAAGAATGCTTAGAGAAACAAGCAGTGTTTTTTTGTTGTATTCTTTAATAACTTATCTGGTAGGCAAATTCATTTCAAAATCAAAATTACAGTTTGTTTTCTTAACTTGCTATTCTGTCACACCTTTAAAAGGATTCCACACCTAACCAAAGATAAAAAATATCACCTGGCACTTTGACATTGTCAAAGATAAGTTCTCCAGTGGGGGATCCCCTCATCCCCAGTTTGTCCAGCTTCTTTCCCACACTGAAACCTTCCATTGTCTACAAAAACAAAACAAACAAGTAAATTGTCAGTTTGAAAATACCAAATTTCTAAAACTAGACATCGAAAATTCCATAAATACAGGTAGTAAACAAAACAAAATTAATGATACAGACTGCTAGAGTCTAGATAAGATAGATGGGAACAAATGTGAAAAACTTTTTTTAGAAATGGCAGTAATTTTCATTTCAACATTAGGAGTGGTCTATCAAAAATATCATTGGTCATTTGGATTCAAAGTATGTCCCTTAATCCATTTTAACTCCGGGATTACTCATACATAAAAAAGAATCCATGGACAATTATTGGAGTTATACAAAACAGAAAACATGACATATCATTTACTTATTTCATATTACGGTGCTATGTAATAAGTTCAGTAAACCTTTTCAATAAGAAAAGTGGTAATTCCATGTTGTGCCTTTTTGGGCTCTGTTTTAGCATAAACAACAAGAACATCTGCCTCCGGGCCATTTGTGATCCAGAACTTGGTACCATTCAGCAAATAGTGGTCGCCTGGGAAAGGGGTAGAATACAAATTATATTACATCACACTTAACATAAATATATTTACTTAACATATAAAAACACAAGCAAACTTATTCAAGCGGCTTGAGAGAGAGAGAGAAATGAAAGGCAAAGAATGTCATCAATTCTCCAAACTATGGCACTAAATCAAGTCAGTCTGAGAAAAGCACTGAACCATCAGCGTATTCAATTGAAATTTTACAAAGGGACTTATAAAGCATATATAGAATTTTTCAAAACTCATTTATCAAAATTCTAGACTTGTAAAAAGATAAGAAGTATGATCTACTTTCCTTAAAAGGTAAAAAAAACAACAATATATACACACACACACACACACACACACACACACACACACACACACACACACACACACACACACACACTTTAGGTATAAATTAATATGTCATCTCCATTTTTACCTTTGTGTTCTGCAGTGAGTCTCATGGAGACCACATCTGAGCCACTGGTGGTCTCACTCATGGCTAGGGCCCCAATGTGCTCACCACTGATTAACTGAAATACAGAGGGAATACTGTCAGGCTTTGGGATGCTAAAATGAATGCCTGTTACACATAATGATTGGAAATTTTGAAGTAAAATGATGACTTTTTCAACAGGGAATTTTAACATGCATGGCAGTACCCCATACACCAAAGGAAATGCCAGAAATGTAGAAAATCTGTTTTATGTAAGAAAGTAAGTATCCTTAATATCTTGCATTATCTTATGTCACTCAAACAAAAATGTTTGCTCAATTTTTATCAACTGAATTACTGTGAACTTTGGAGAAAAATTTTCTTGGTAGTTTTAGTTTAACTATTTTTTTGAGGATAAAAGACTAATATATAAAATTACCTTCCCCATGACTCACATGCATATCCAAATACAAACATGTATAAATTACAAACTTAACTTGGATGGAACTTCATAACAATTGGTAAACGATAATTACTGCATTTTTGACCAAATCATTTTCCAGAACATAACATTTAACAGGTCCTGGATTTATTTAACAAAAGTTTATTTCTACACATACCTTAGGCAAATATTTTGCTTTCTGTTTCTCATTTCCATTTCTGACAATCTGATTGACACATAGGTTTGAATGTGCTCCATAGCTCAGCGCTATGCCACCATGTGCTCTGGACAGCTCCTCCATCACTAACACATGGTCCATGTAGCTGCCTTCAGCACCACCATACTCTCCTGATGAAAAAAAATTAAATAGGAAGGAATAAAAGAATGTGAGAGAGAGAGGGGTTAAACCATTATTTTGGATATTCAGCTTCCAAGCTTAAACAAACAAAATGAAAACAAACTATTTTGTCAGCATATGACAAGACATTGTTGAGATCAATATAGAATGGCTCATTAACAAGTCATTTTTAAGATGATGATAATAATAGAAGAATTTGTCATATGTTATTTCTAAGGTTTTTGGCAGGTTAAACTCATATCTTGGCATTTTTTCACATTTAATTACTTTTTGTGTGTGCATGTACTTTTTGTATCATGTTAATATTATACCTGGTGCAGTAATTCCCAAAAATCCAAGTTCTCCCAGTTTCTTCCAGAAATCCTTTTTATTAAAAACAAAAATATGGGTATGAGCAATGTAGCAGATTTTTCATACCAACTAAAGGATTTACTCAGCTTAGAATAAAAAAAACAAGACATTTACAATGAGAACAAGTCAGTTAACTAAACAATGTGCATTTTTGTCCCAGCTTTAATATTTCAACATCAATATCAAACAGGACAAGTATACCCCCATTCAGTCTTTTAGCATCAATTACAGAAATTACACTTGACATTCAATTCATTTATGTAACAGAAGAAAAAACAAGCACTTACAATTATGCATGTATATTAATGATCATGTTACTTTTATTAATTAAACAGATACACAAACATGCCTGAAGCAATTATATTTTTGTAAAATAATTCAACAATGGAGAGTTTGTAAAAACACTTTTTTCTAACACATTTTACCACTTCAGCTTACAATGAAAGAAAAAAGTGTGTAAACCAGAATATATGTCACTGGAAAGATTGAAGTCCAGGTAGATTTTTAGCCAGCCCATGTTAGACTGAAATCACAATCTCGTCTAGATATTAAAAATCTTAGACTTATCCATTTAAGCTAGTTTGGTCATCAGCATTTTTAGACCCTGGTGTCCAGGGACAAAACTCTGTGGTCTGTCAATCCAAGGAACTGTATTGTACCATGGTCAATCAAACGATCAATGATCACAGTAAATATATCCATAATATCGTTGGCAGATAAAATTGTGGAAAATTGTTTTATTTTCAGAAATAAACTGTACAGGAATACATGGCAGTCTTATATCTGGCAAAACTAATTTAACAAAAAATGACATGATATATCAAATGCAAGAGCAGGGACAGGTCTATCAATGATTGGGGAGTAGGAGAAAATTGCCCCCTCCACCCCAAAAGGAAAATGCATGTTTGGTTTGATACAAAAAACCAATATACATAATACCTTTATATCAAGATGAATCACAGTCAGAAATTTTATACGATTTGTATGTTCATCTTAAGAGGCTGTGTAGGAAAAGTGTCTCAATAAAATGTGAACATTACAATAAGCTAATTTTTTTTTACCTTCATCTCTGGAAAATAATCCTCTTTGTCTATTTTGTCAGCATGTGGTGCCAGCTCTTTCTGTGCAAACTGGAATGCTAACTCCCTCAGCTGAAATAAATACAAAATCTTACTTATTAAATTTAAAATAGTATGCAGGAGTCTCTGGTCTACTAGTATACATATTAACATCTTTGACAAAATTGCATGATTTGTGTCTATAAAAATTAATACTGTCAGTAGAACTTCTCTAGTGGAACAAAACAGTTTATCTCTAATAATCCCTGCACTTCTGGGACAAAATTCAGGAATCATGTTACCCTGCCCTTCCATCAGTCAGCGCATCCCTTTGTGTGCTTAAGTAATTTGTGCTATCTCCTCCTTGACCATTACAGGTAGGAAGTTGAAACTTTGGGGACTGATAGACCAACTTGGGGTTGTGCTATCCCTCGGAAATGGTTGATTCTTAATTCTTTTTACATTGCAATTTCTGCTTTCTCCTCCAATACCATAAGAGTGAAGAAAGTTTGGTTTGATAGACATATCTTACAGGATGTGCATGTAGCTGAATGCAAAATTAAATGTGTGGCTGACATATTGTATTTATGTAGGTGAAATTTTTAAAGGGTTCAAATGGTAAGAAAGTGGTTTTCCCAGTTAGTTGTAGTTTCTAAGGCCTAGATAAACAAGAAAATCACGTCTTAATTTGTCATTCTCCATTGATACAAAGGCTGCTCCACTGCATTTTCCACTTCAGTTTGAGTTATCAAAACAATGACCTAGTTTGTTCTTGGATCAAAATACATGTACAATACAAACGTGTAAGGAACTTGATGGACATCCTACATAATATTTATAGGTCCCTTAATTGGTAGAATACCTGGCAAAAGTACCTGTGGGAGACAAAGAAAGGCATTCCTTGATCATTTTGTCAACATGACATCTTTGGTCATGAGCGAGAAACAGAAACCTTTGGCAAAATATCAACATTGGTCAAACACCACATCGGTGATGGCACATGAAGAAGGTACAGGATTATTTAATTGGAGTGTAAATGATGCTTATGTGTAATATATATTCAATATGATACATGCACAAAGTTTACAATCTTTCCGAGAGGAAATATGTACAAGTAGACAAGCTTTATTAGATTAATGTTATGGGAAAAGTACCGGTAGGATTGTGAATAATTTCACTTTAGTGCCGTACATGTAGGTCTTTACTTAGTCTTTTTTGGACACCAATGTTTACCTGTTTTTGTTCGTCGGTTAGGCCAAATACATCGTCGTTGATAGGGTAAAAATTACTGCAGCACCTGTGCTGCAAAATTCCAATCGGTCTCGTTTTCTTTAAAGGGGCGCTGAGGACACTTTGACCGAGACGTCTAAGCACCAGCCTGGTCGTCGCCATCTTCTTGTTAAAGACCGACAGCTGAACAAAGCTCAGTTTTATTCTTCTGCACCTTTCGAATCACCATTAAATTTCTTTTTTAATAAGAATGTGATCTTTTTTCTGTCTTGAATAATTAGTATCATTAATGTATATCTATACGTATATTCTCTTGCTTACTTCAAGCAAATGTGGTCTGTTTACGCAAGTGTGACCTTATGTGGAGGACAAACCAAGCCCAAAATGGGATTTTGTGAAAAATAACTATCATCGTGAATATTTAAAACATAGATAAAACGTAATTATAAGCTATAAAAACAAAACAAAGCTCATTTTAATACTGAATTTTAACACTATTTAGAACATATCATATACTTTTGATATGCTTCGATAAAGCAAACAGGAAAATGTACAATTTGGGCTAATGTTATGTTATATATTTACTGTACCTTGACCTACTTTGCTTGACTGTGTGTTATGTAAAAAGAACAGAAAAGAGTGATGAATTCAGTTTTGATTCGCAGGCAGAAGAAGACAGTGATGTTAATATTTCATCCTTAAGGAGCTCACATACATTATCGCGTCTGCGGTAGTGTAGTGGACATAAGGAAGCCACGAAAAATATGCCTGAAAAGTTCAATTATCGCCAGTCTCTCCAAATGCGAAGAAATTACATAGGGTAAGATTCTAAGATTTAAAATTGGTCTCTAAGCTTTTTAGCACTCATGTCTTACGTATGTTTCCTTTTGGTGAGAAGACAATGAAATCTGAAGGGAATATACACATATAAGACGAAGTTTAGATTCGTGACTCACTCTCTGACCATTGAGGGTAGTTTGTTACATAATTATTGTATCGGTTAAGAGGCCCCTGACATTAGCGGGTAGTCATGGCGCAGGCAAGATTGAAATCCAGACAGATTTTAAATGGTCCCGAATTTTAGTCAATTTTTTTCATAGCAAAAAAAAAAAAAGAAAAAAATACAATCTTACAATAGGATTGGTCATATGGTCACAATAGGGCACAGAAATCTCTGTTGCATGTTATCACCTATATATATATATAATACGGTGAATATTGTGACATTCCTAATTCCAAGGACAGCCCCGCCATCTTGTTTACAAGATTGTTTATATGTTTGTCAAAACCTGCCGAAAGCTTTTCTGGGCGTATCCCAAAAGCAAAGCAGAAAACCATGTTGACACTTGGAATTCATTGTTGATTACACTGCCCAAACATTACGCAGTATCTTACATGTCCCTGGAAGTGACAAAATCCTGCTACTAGTAATTTCAAATCTCACTTCAGTGCCTAATTTTTCTCAACAGTGCCCAATGTTAACTTTCTGCACTTGGTAGTATGGTTCAGCAACCAGAATTTAAGTCAAATACTTGCTTGCAAATGCAAGTTACTCGCTAATGAGTGATTTGTCCAAAACAGTAGTNACGTATTCCAAAAGCAAAGCAGAAAACCATGTTGACACTTGGAATTCATTGTTGATTACACTGCCCAAACATTACGCAGTATCTTACATGTCCCTGGAAGTGACAAAATCCTGCTACTAGTAATTTCAAATCTCACTTCAGTGCCTAATTTTTCTCAACAGTGCCCAATGTTAACTTTCTGCACTTGGTAGTATGGTTCAGCAACCAGAATTTAAGTCAAATACTTGCTTGCAAATGCAAGTTACTCGCTAATGAGTGATTTGTCCAAAACAGTAGTAAATAAGATTTCAGATATAGACCTCCTAAACACACACAGACCTAAAATTAATTCTTCTGTCAGTGAATTAATTCTTCTCTAAGCCCCTCTCAAGTTAGTTTGTACAACTATTAATAATATCATGATTCTGGTCGTACAGAACCTGGAGTGATTAGGCTACTTATCAGATGGAATATTTTGTAATATAGATAATTTTCTTATTCACAAATAAATAACTTAGGAGGAAAAACATTTTACATATTTTTTTTAATTTGTTAAAGAAAACATTTACATTTTAATAAGAAAGAGTGAGAGACAAATTAGAGGGTACGCAATAGATTTTTTTTTTTTTTTTTTTTTGTATTTGATTGAAAGATGTTTTGTGTTAAGTGGCAAAGAAATGAAGACTCCATTGTGCAAAAAATCAATATTCTGCACTTTCCTGCCTCTCTCATCTCCAATTACATTATTACATGGCTGTCACAGTAGCAAAGTTTGTATGACACATATGCTATGTATTGATTTCTCCAGAATATACACCCTTGCTGACAGTTATCTTTTGAAAATCCTTGACATAGCACAAAGCTGTTATAAAATAAGAACATTTAGTTATATGAAGTGGAAAGGAGTGATTGGCACTTAAATCGACTCTCTGTAAAATCCTCATAATCTCATTTTCATCATTAAGATAAAGATGCAATAGATACAACAAATGGGGAATGAACTGGGGATTTCAGTTAAATACCACTAGAGCTTACCATGTAGCTGTTACCTAGAAACCATATAGCTAGATCATAATGAGTTTTCTTTATTAAAATTGTCAGCCAAGAGTTCTTGGGGAAATAGTATTTCAGAGAAATAGTATAAATTATGAAGCTTATTACAAAGCATCCTGGGTTAGTCCAGGGTGCTAAGAAAATTAGAGTTCAAAGATGTTGTCAAAGTGGTAATTCTAGGTAAATTGCATCAGACATTGTACCAATTATAGGATTGTCTTATGATGAATTTCAGAAAACCATGCAAACTTCATTTTGAAGCAGCTCCACTGAAGATTGTCTGTGCCTCTAAGCAGTATGTGTATGATGACAATGGAGAGGAGTACCTGGACTGTGTCAATAACATCTCACATGGTAAGGACAGGACAGGGGAATAGCTGGGGGCATCCTAATACTTTGTACTTTAATGACAGAAAAGTTGTCTTGCAAATAGTGATTTTTATTTTGTTTATGAAAAAATAAATTCTCTGAAGAGGGACAATATTTATTGTTCAGCTAAGACTATCCATAAACCAATTTGCCAAAAAAATTAGTTCAGTCACTGGCAATTTTTTTTTCATGTTGTCCAGAGTCCAGCCATTTAAAATGATGCAATGAAATTAAAATCACACACTTGGCTTTTCATTTAAAAGCACAGGATTTTAAAGAAATTGGACTAGATAAGACATCAATCAAATCCCACAAATTTGCCCCTTATATAATCACATTTTAAGTTTTTTTTTTCTTGAATATGATATGTTCTATTGCAGTTGGTCACTGCCACCCACAAGTGGTCAGTGCAGGCCAGGAACAGATGGCAAAACTGACCACAGGCAGTGGCTTCCTGAATGATGTGGTGGCAGAGTATGCTAAAAGACTCATTGAGACTTTCCCTGAGAGCCTAAGTGTCGTCTATTTCCTGAATTCTGGGTAAGAGACAGAATTACAATTAGTGTGTTGTGCAGCACTGTTTCATTTAAAGGCTCATTCACATTGAGACTATCTGTCTTCTTAGATTGATCCAACTCAGAGGGGTCTGAATCTCATTTAGTTCAACAGATTAGCACACCTCTTGATATGAGTAGAATATTGAAAAACTGTTGATTCAGCAAGAGTCCCTGTGGAGTTGAATCAATCTATGTACTAGTAGACTGATTGTTTCAATGGGAATGAGCCCTAAGGCTCATTATGAATTAATCTTTACTATTCTCTGTTTAATATGTTTCTGATTGACACATGTAGCTTTTAAAGTGTTTCAGATATATCTCAGGAATGGCTTTAAACCTCCATTTTTTCCCTCAAGCAGATGGGTAATATTTTTTTTTCTGATGGTGCAGGGTATTATAATAAGTATTTTTTTAAAATTCTTGCAATGATTTTTTTTTTCCAATTTTTTTACAACAGGTCAGAAGCTAATGATCTAGCTCTGTGCTTAGCAAGAAGTTATACTAAGAACGAGGATGTGGTGGTTATTGATAAGTAAGTGTACATACATGATGAGTTTGTCATGATTGCGTTAATGCTTAACAGATCATAAATACAGATACTTCAGGACAAGTTTAGTTCAACAAACTACGCAACTTACAAATGCCTTTTAAAGAATGGTGACACTATGGTGTGGAAATAACTTAACTGCTAAATTATGTATCCACAAGCATATAAGTTAACGTAGCTACTTTGAATTATTATCAATTGTTACACTGGGTTGAATAGAGTAATCAAATCCTGATCATGTACTAATTTTATTTCAGTGCTTTCCATGGTAACCTTAGTAACATGGTCAGCATTAGTCCTCTCAGATTCAAGAGACAACAATTAAAACAAGAGGATTGGGTCCATGTTGTAAGTACCATACCAAGTGATTACAGTGAAATTCCCAGTTTGCTCACATTGAAGCTCAGCCAACTCTAGTAGTAGTTTTGCTATAATCATGCATCTGAGGGTGTCGGACCTGTTTAAAACTTGTGAGACATGACTACAAAATATTTGAAAATTCATGAATTTTATCAGCCAAATTTAATCATATAAACATTTGATGGATATTTTCAATGCAAGCGTGGCTCTTTGTTTTCCATAACACATAATGAAAGATGTGAGGAGCTGAAAGTCTAATGTATGATAAATATCCGAATTGGCATCGAGCCAGATTCAATATCCAAGTGCCAGTGAAACAGTTTTTCATTCTGTTTATAAAGGTTCCATGTCCTGACACCTATCGTGGTATGGTGAGAGATCCCTTACACCCAGATGCAGGGATAATATATGCCAATGAAGTGAAGAGATTGATGGATCAGGCCACAGCCAGGGGAAGAAAGGTGTGGTGAACAAATACACTCTTGATGAACATGTGCTTTTATTTCACTTATCAGTTTTACTCTGGTATAATTCCCTGAATGATGTAAGAAAGCATTCTGTTCAAGGGTAGAATGAATATTTTATCTTTCGTTAAATGATCAGCTTTAAATGAAAATGCTGCATATATGAATTTATATTACTTTTTCTGTCTAAAATGTTTGTGTCTAAAATGCAGGCATAGAGTTGGACTTGAAATAAACGATCTGCCCATTGATTGACAGTAAAGAACCATCCACATAAACCTCAGTTATCTTGGATGAAAACTGGATAAAAGTTTGGATGAAATTACACTTAACTATGAAAAACAAAGATCACAGTATTTGTAATTCTTTTTTCAGTTCTGTTGCTTTTTTTTTCATTGTAGATTGCAGCATTTTTCAGTGAGTGTTTGCTATCTCAGTGTGGAATGATTCTGCCTCCACAGAGCTACTTTGAGAATGTTTATAGGTGGGTCACCTTCAGAAACGAAATAATAGAATAGAGCTGCAGTTTGACATTTAGTCTGAGAGATTAATGTTTTAAAGATTTCTTTTGCTATTGTTCAAACCTAGAGAAATGATATTTCTTTAAAATGTCAGTAACATCTGAGTGTATTAGGGATCAGATTACTGTCATTAAAGTCTCAAGTTGCCAACATTTGTGTGTGGTGTATGTGCTTGACATTTTATTTAGAGAAAAGCACATGTGAATATTATATGCTGTTCCATGTGTCTTGAACAGATATGATATCAGCCATAAACATCTGATATTTTATAGATTTTGTTATGACCAATGAAAGATTTAGGGTTAATTTCGATGATGTGAAAGGTATAGCTTCAGATTCAGCAAAGTCACTGAAATGAGCATAATGAGGAAAAAATCTGATTTGTCTGTTATGAAATAAGTAAAAAAAACCCTGTACACCTGTTGCCAGGTTGATTAACAACTCACAGCTAAGTGTTATCTAACATTTTGCTGTTTAATGAACATGTGTTAATCTCTTATAAAATCAGGTACATCCGTGATGCAGTAACTGAAATGAGCATAATGAGGAAAAATCAGATTTGTCTGTTATGAAATAAGTAAAAAAAAACCTGTACACCTGTTGCCAGGTTGAATAAGAACTCACAGCTAAGTGTGATGTAACCTTTTGCTGTTTAATGAACATGTATTAATCTCTTATGAAATCAGGTACATCCGTGATGCAGGTGGTTTGTGTGTTGTGGATGAGATTGCCAATGGAATGGGGAGGATTGGAGAACACATGTGGTCTTTTCAGCATTGGAGTAAGTTTTGATAGGTTTTATTTGGTAGATTCCTAAGTGAAGTGGTGTTTTAATGTCTAACATTAAGATACCAGCATCTTCTCTACAGTGACAAAGTGTATATTGATAGGTAGTCATTTCTCAAAAGTAATTCAAGATATAAGCATTTTAGAGTAATCTGTGAACCACTTAGCATTGGTAAAGGCTTATTGTAGTTACACAAATGAAATGTAAGGGTTGAGTACATAATCTTTACTTCTTCACAGACGTTGTTCCTGACATAGTGACCATAGGTAAACCTGTTGGAAATGGCTACCCAATGTCTGCAGTTATCACTAGAAGAGAAATTGCTGACAGCCTGAAAGAATTTTCCAGTGGGGTAAGCCTGTTAACTTTCACATGTTATTGTCATAGTGAGGCATACTGCTGACTTGTTGTTGAATTTACCCTCTGTTAACTGTATGTTGTTGTTTTTGTAAGGATTAATTATGCAAATTATTATTTTTTTCTTTTCATGTACTTTGAATGCAAAGTTCAATTCGGATCATTTCAGGACTTCTTTTAAGTTTTAAATTAATAGTAGTGGGGTTTGAAGGGAACTTTTTTAACTGGTCAGCATTATATGATTTTACTGTGGCATGTCTACACATTTTCTTTTCATAAGAAATTGAAAGTAGGGATAATAAGTGGAAACTTAGACTGGTGAGAAATAATGTAAGAAATTGAGTTTTGCTATACAGAGTGGTGAGAAATAATGTAAGAAATTGAGTTTTGCCGTACCCATTTGTTTTTAATGAATGAATAAAAAGAAGTTGGCATTGAATGTAGAGCAAGTATCAAAATCACTGTCCTAATCTTTTCTGAGTATTTCACTCACATAATTCACCCCCATCACTTAGGTATTTATTTTTCAATTTTCCCATAGTTTAGTTTGTTGGCAGTCATGTATCTTGTTTTCACATACTTTGGATCAGCATGTGGACATAAACAGCCCAACAACACAAAATATTTTCTGATTTTTTCATGTTAAAGGTATTCTACACTTATTATTATCAGAGAGCTGCAACTTTCTTGTCATCTCAAGTGCTCTTTTTCTCACTTCAGTTTGGGGGTAATCCTGTGTCTTGTTCTATGGGCCTTGCTGTCTTGGATGTGATCAAGAATGAGAAGTTGATGAGCAGTGCAAAGAGTGTGGGGAAGTGTCTCCTGGATGGTTTTAGGGCCATTATGCCATGTCATCCCATGATGGGAGATGTCAGGTAAGAAGACTAGATGAATGCCAGATTGAATAACTTTGTATTGCTTAATGTATTTGATTTTTTTCTTTTTTTTTTTTTTTGATAAATGAATATGTAGTTCATCATTTAAGTCGCAGAGTCCTTCCATGGAAGCATTAAATCAATGTGAAATCTCTTATGATTATTAAGAGAAAATAAAAACATGAAATTTCTTCACTTTTTTATCAAGGGGCTTGGGTTTGTCTGTTGGGATAGAAATTGTGACAGACACAGACAGCAGGAAACCAGCCACAGAGGCTGCAGACATGTTAACATACAGGTTAGTCATCTTATGAAACCCTGAAGTCTCAGTGGCAGTTTAGTTTGCTACAATCTCCACAGCTACCATCCATCAGTAAGAGAAAAGTGGAATGCGGACTTCACTGTATTGAAAGTACTCTTTTGAAAACCCATAGTCTTTGACAAAATTTACCTTATGTGCTTTTTATCTACTAAACCTGGGACATATTTTTGTTTTAAAGAAACAGTTATATCTGTAGATACTTTAAGATTGATGTCAGACTAAAAGCCAGACAGTAAATGAGTACATTCACAAATTCTTAAGTATTATTTGCCAGTTGAGAAGAAAAAAGAAACATCAATACAGGTATTGACAGGTAGTCAGTAGGGAAAAAATCAATTTTGCATACTACTGCCATAAATTGTGATTTAAAATAACAATTTTCTCACAGCATCCAATATGAAATGTTTGTAGATTGTGTTATGGCATTGAGTCATTTCATCATTATTTCAGACTGAAACAAGAGAAGATCATTATTAGCAATGAGGGTCCAGACAAGAATGTGATGGCGATTACTCCCCCAATGTGCTTTACAGCAGATAACGCTCAGCGCCTCATACAAGCCTTTGACCACGCCCTAGCGGATATAGAAAAGGGCACCCTGGGAAGACCCATCAGGCCAGCCACGGAGGGCAAGTACACTGCAGCACAAATGAGCATCATCGTAGGAGATGAAGAAGATGTAGAGCAAGAACCTGATTCAAAACGGACAAAATACTTTGATCTGGATTAAAGTTATTTTCATACTATTGCTAAGTGTTGTTTTGCATGGAGTAAGGCAAAATCTCTGACAGAAAATTTTAAAGGATAACATTTTTAAAATGTTCTAATATTTAACATAAAAAGTCAAGTATTTATCAGTGCTGTCAACCAGCATATTTTATTACATGATGATCAATATTTTTGTATATAGTGAAACTTCAGTTGGCCTAGACAAATTTTGCTTCTTGTTAATTAATTTTTTACCACAAAAAAGTATATTCCCTTGTTTAGAGCAATTACAGCTAATCAATTTAAGTTGTTCTGTTTATGCTGAGCTATCAATGAAGGCCTTGGTTTTTCTGTCAGTCATGTGGACCTCCTCTTTACAGTAAAGAAATGGTTGTGATGACAGCATTGCGGTGATGGGAAACTGCAGCATTTATTAGCAGTGCTACTGCATTTCATATTGTATTTACATGCTTAAATTGAAGTGGTCTTGGACCAACCTAGAAGTGGACCAAAATTCTGATTAGCCTTTTTTGAGGAATTTCAAGGTAATTTGAGAATTGCAAAGAAGAGAATTTGACTTGGCACATAGTGTATGTTGTTGGAGCCATTTTGGTTGCCGCATATTTTTGATTCTCAAGTAGATCAGTAAATGCAGTATAGGAACAATTACCAATAGAAAAATCCTGATCTCTGTTATCATGGTGCCATTTGGGTCTTATTTTCATTCATCTGTTGAAAGCCACCTCAAACTTTAATATATTTCCTGCATTGCTTTTTAACTTGGCCACTTAAATTACTCCTTCCATGTCATACAGTAATAAACTGCCCACTTCGTATTTTAATATCAGTACTCTTGGAAGATAAACATATGGGTTTAAAGCTTGTTTATTGTATCTAAGTTATAACATGTTATAGTTATTAACTATGTTATATTTATTCCATTTGGTTATTGTTTGTGAACTGCACCCAAAGGAGGAACTTCTACCTCAAAGTTAGAAAATTGTAACATGAGAATCAAATGTATTTTTCCCTTCAAGTTTTGCAAAAGTTCTACATTATTCAGAGGTTACATGTGTGCATTATTCTGACTGAAGTGACTGGTATCATTCATCTGTCAAAATTCACTTGTAATGATTTTATCCATTGTAGTCAAGTTTGAGGATAGGTCAGTAGGTAATTTTAAAGTAAGTTCTTATTTTGGAATGGATTTTAGGTGCAAAATGCAGAGTTTTTAGACAAATATACCGGTGCCATGTTATAGTTACAGTTCATGGGCACACTTAGGTAAAAAAAAAAGCCAAGATTTATAGTTACTCGGTTCACATATTATTTTAAGTGTACTTTGTGTGAAATAGACAAAAGTCAGGTTATCAATGAACTCGATATACTCCCGTCTTGAGAGTTCAACCCCCCCCCCCTCCCCGTAATGGAGGGTGGACTGACTGTTACAGGGATCCTAAGTTTCTTTCCACGGGCTAACCTGCCAGTGCTGAGTATGATGACAACGCACGGGTTGTTTCTTAGGTTTGGCACGTACTGCAAGGCACACACATGCCTACCTGAAGTGCAATAGACACCACTTAAAACATGATTACATCGAATAATCATTATTCAAATCGGTTTAATTTACTTGCAGTCGATTGTTGATCTGTCAAAAATGGATACACAACACGGTGGGCTGTATGTTGTATCCTAGGCCAAAGCAGTGATTTTTATGTAAACCCAGTAGTAATACATGTACGTCCACCATTTTCAACTTTCCAGACTTTGTGACAGCACTAAATGTATATTGTAAAAATAATTACCCGGTGAGATGTTGGCTTGAAGCAGCCAACGGAATGATTGTACTTTCATTTTGTAAACGTATAGTTAAACGTGTACTTTTGGTGGTGTAAGTGTATCATTGTTGACACATCAGCATTTCGGTGAGACGGCTCTATGGATCCACTCGTATACTTTGTGCGAGTTCTGAAGTTATCACAGTGTTATGCTGAGTTTCATTTGCGGCAGACGTTGCTACCAATAGGGAATGCTACACTGTACCCAGTAAAGCAACCGCTTTCAATAAGCTTTTTTCATTTCTCCAATTTGAAGAAAAGTGAATAGTGTGGATATTTATGATACTTTCTGGTGAAATAGTCATATGAGGATGAATGTGAATCTATACAAATCCCTGTATTGCCATTTTGATGAACAATACATTTTGGAAATTGTCAACTGAACCTGAGGTATGTAAGTAAAGGATAATAAATGTTTCATTTCATGTTAATGCGTTCTTTTTATGTGTAAACGCTGCACAGTTTACGTTTACTGCCCCGGGAACAGAAAGAAAAACTAGTCTTACGACAATTGCATTGAAGTATTTATTAATTAGAGCAAACCGCAAAGTGAGGCTACAAGTACGGTATGTCAAACATACGAAAAAAATCGAACAATAAATAAAAGGCGTTATTTAAGAACTTAGGTTACATATATGATAATTTTAGTTTACAAAGAGGACAAAAGACGTATTGCTTGATGAGTCTACACAAAGACGGCAACCCTTTCGTTATCGTGGGACACGTGGGCAATGCCCCCCCCCCTCACCCCTACTCCCCAAACCAGTACCCGTCACGAGTGATATCAGGATTTAAGAACTAAATGCAGGATGCTTCTGGTTTTACGTTGAACAAATAGACATAATTGAAAACAGCGCTGACAATCAATGCTCTCGATCTATTTTAAATTATCCAATGACCAAAATCTAAAACCAATCACTGCTTCAAAATGTTTGAAGAATGAACACCAAAGTAGAAGTGAATCATATATATAGAACTGAAGTCGGCATAGAGTTGGCTATTAGTCACTCTCCAAATAAGAACAAATAAATAAGAAATGAACGCTAACCTGCGCATGCTATCACCTGATTTATAAACTTACTAATACTGTTGACGAGTTTTAAGCCCAAGGTAGCTGTACTAGCAGTTCAAATAATCCACAAAAGATTGGCCTTGAGCGTGCATACATCACCGTCTAAGAATAGTGACGTAAGGTTCATTATCACGTACATGACTGAGCAGTGACTTTTCTTAGACATAAGCAAGACAGTAGCACAAATACGCCATAAAATCCGCTGAAATACGTTAGGTTTGATTCCTCGATAAAGGCCATACACACCTCGAAGAGCAATACATTATAAGTGCCATAATCTTTAGTTCAATAAATTCCATGGTCTTTTATATCATGCATTACCCAAACTTAAGTATTTATGGTATCAGCAGTACACAGTCGACAAGAAACACATAAAACACGGACCTATCTCCTTTATACATAACACTCTCCAAATGATATAATCATTCCTTAAGGTATTGTATTTCCACACGGTAAATATTGAGTAGTTCATGGCAAACTTACGGAACAATACATTATATCATAATATAATCGCCTCACGGTTTGTAAGTGTTCTTCATCTTACTTCATCCTCCTCAGTACATCTTCTTCAAAACATCTTCTTTGACTGTCTGGCTGTAACGTTTTCCTTCCACATTAAAAAGCATACTGTATATACGCTATAATTTACATACCGAACGTTGACACAAATGCGCATCTGAATTTGGTTTTCCCTCTGTTCAGTAACACTTTATATCCATCATATTTGCGGAATATAGTAACAGTCATTTCGTTTCTACTAAAATCTTTTTGCTGAAGTTTCGTCAATGCGCATACTTATATTTTATGCAAATGCACATACGTATCGGTGCTAGTAAAGATCTACAACATCAAAGACACGAACTGGTGCCATGAACTGGGATTCGACAGTGACGTGATTGGTTGGGATTCGATGATAACGTCATGAATTGATAATGGACGATTGTCCGACAGAAATTAAATCACCATTTAGTGGCCAGAAAACAGAGTATTACCATTTTCTTTGACAGCCAATGTCTTCTTCTTTCTCTAATTCCCCATTCTTCAAAAGTCTGAGGCGGGTGCTTGTTGGATTCGATCTGTAACACGTACAATAAGGGCAAGATGCTTTTGAAGGATTTCAAAATACAAGTTGGCGTTTTACAGCGCCAATTATCTAGAAAAAGTCATATTACAGGTCAGATGAGCCATCAAACGCCGTCGCCTTCTTTCTCTCTGCCAGCTGCAGGATTCTCATGGCGCGGCTCTCCCAGCCGTGTGGCGGGGGAGAACTAGGAGGCAGGTCCTCGTCGAAGGACGCCCGTTTGATGCTTTCAGGAAGCTTGGATACTGAAAACCAAAATCGCCTCTGTAAAATTTCTAAGCTACGGCTGTTTCAAAGATATCTGCTGTTGTTGAACTGCTTTCGCCCCGTGCATGGTAAAATGGAAAACAGCAAGCTTGGAAGGCACGAAAATGTGAAATTAGCTCATGCAAAAGGTCAATAAAACGTGAAGAAAGAAATGAATGACATAATAAAATCATTTCAAACTTGTCAACCCTTTCTTTCCATTGCTATAAGACAGGTTTATATTTGATGAGATAAGTTATATGGCTTTGCCGCAGACATGTTTATAATAGAATCCAAAGGGTTGACAGTTGGAAATGGAGGCAAAGGAGGCGATTTCTGGAGGGAGGGTGGATCAAGATAAAGTAAAAATTGCAAGTGAGTTACAGGGCGCATTCCCGTAGATCGATCTAACTCTGCGGTGACTCTCGCTGAATGCAATTAGATTAACTGAATGACACCCCTCTTTAAGCAGCTAGAGAGTAATTAACTTTCATGTGCGTACTGTCGCACTCAAAACGAAGTGCACATGAAATTTATCATCATTAGCTGCTACAGAAGGTGTTTTGTTACCAAGTCTGAATGCATAGAAAAACAAAGTTTCGAAAACGGATAAATTCAATACAAGGATTTGTTTCCGCCAATTAATCGCCACCTTTACTTTTTATATTTGCCTACAGTCTGTATAGAAACAAACATGTTCATTTAACATGATATTAAAGAAAAATTATTCAAATAACAACTAAGCAGCTTTTTCAATATTTTCCCGAAATATCGCTCCGGAAATATATCGAGTACCTCAGTAAGTTTAATGACAGATTTAAAAAACGCGCAGCCATGCCGTATACTAGTACATGTATTAGGATGGTCTTTCATGAATTGGTTTATGCATTTTTAAAAACTAAACTAGAAAACAGAAACATTTCAAAAGAGAGTAATTAACTGTTATCATTAACTATCATTTCTTTCTTTTTTTTTCTCCTGGCCATAGTAGTCTGATTTTAGTCAAAGAACAAAACAAGTGAGACGAAACAGATGCACCAACTATATTAACAACAACAACAAAGTGAAAGTATTAAGGAGATTGAAGAGAAAATTTAACACGAGGCAAACAAACATTTATCTTATCAAAAGCATTTCGAGAAAAGGAACAAGAAGGTAAAAACAACGTTATCAACAACAAAGAAGCTATTGATACATACACTTTGGTCTCTGTCGCCCGCCAGGGGGCGTGCCAGGAGACTGGGATGGGGTGCCTCTTTGGATTTGTATGGAGAACTGCTGGGGAGCGAGCTGGGGTGGTGGCGGTTGATTGGAAGAGATGTGCATGATTTGGATATTTCTTGTACCGGCTTCAGGGGACCCTCTGGCCCGTCTTCGGGTTTGTTGCTGGCTAGGAGCTGGGTCTGAGTGGGGAAGAACATCCAGACGAAATAAGTAAGATAAAGATGGTAGACGTGCCATAGGCAATGGAAAAACACTCTGTGGACATACATGTAGTCCTTTATTGTAAACTAATAGCTGTTATCAGCTTTCTGTTATCTTTACTGAAAACGACATTTTACGCACAATTTTTATCATTTGCGAATCATATAGGTAACATTTTACTTACGAACAACATCAACAAAAGGGGTTTTAAGCAAAACCACGGTATGTAAAAAATATTTCCAATTAAACAGAATATAGTGTCTAAAATGGATGAAAACATACAACTGTCACAAAACTAAACATTTTCTAGTGTTTGAAACGGTTCTCAACAAAGACTACCTAAAAAGACAGTGTCGGGGCCGCCAGTCATCTGTTGTAGCAGTTTAAAAGATTTGGATGGAATATTTCTGCCCTTGTACCTAATGGACGTCTCATCATATTTGCCAATCGGACCTTCTGGAAAATACATATCTATCATAACAATAACATTTTAAAGATGCATACAAAGTCAATTTTTTGTCACAAAAACCAACCAAATGCCAGCATGTAGTTTCAAGTAGTATAACTAAGAGAATTACCAAAAGGCACTGTTTAATTTTACCCGAAAATGATGTTTGAACAGATTTTTCTGCTGGCATTCTAAGCTGTATGTCAATGGGGCAGGAAAGTAAGTCACGGAAGTAGGTTAAATTTACAACCAAAAATTTAAAGAAAGTAGCAGTCTAAAGGTTTTTTATGGCTGATCGAGTGATCTATTCAGTTAATCCCTTGGCATGTCGAATTTATTTGAGTCATATAAGATGCTCGGTTTGTATGTACCTTTAAAATCTTCTTCTCTTACAAAATTGTATGTACAATGAAAAACCTAGTACATGAGCATTTATGACTTACTCGAAATACGAAAGATTAATTTCATAGTCATATATAGAATTTTAGCCTTCATTCACTCTGATTTCGAAAATAAAGCATATAAAGAAATAACTATTCATTTCAAATATCAACGAAGTTACTCCCATAATTACATTTCAATCACTGCCAGTGCCTGTCCAAGCATGAAGCATTCTAAAGCGGTATAAATCTTACCATAAGCATCATCATCCTCGTAGTGTTGTATGGGTACTGATACCGGTACACTGACTGGCATCGGAGCTATGTTATAGTACTGCTGTGTTGGGGACGGGGGGCTTGCCGCAGCCAGGGGAGAAATCGCATAGCTCTGAGTGGTAGGAGAGCCGGGGCGCCGCCCTGGCGGAGTCCCCACGCGTCCTGGGGTCATCGTCTTCACCGTGACCGGCGGACTGACCATACCTGAATTCTGTTGTGGCGGACTGTACATTACTGGCGAGGCAGGAGCAGGTGCGTTGTAGACCACGTGTTGCGGTACTGGGGGAGGTACATTCACCGGCTCTTGGGGAGTGTATACTTGGGCAGCTGGGTTGATGTGTGTTGGCTGTGGTTGTTCCTTTACCGGCGCTCTTACTTTGATATTAGCAGCGGTGGGAGCAGGGCGTTGTAAACCCTGTGTCTCAAGCTCGTCTTTACTTGTCATACGCATCAGACGTTTGAACGTGTGCGAAGGGACCTCTTCGCGCTTGTTAATACCGCTAAATGTCATTTCATCGTCCTGTGAGTTGAAGCGACTCTTACCCTTTCCGTCTATAAGAAAAATAAAACAATTATTTTAATTTGCAAAAGACAGGATAGTAAAAAAAACAGTGAGCAATAACCTGAAAGCTTATTTGATAAATGTTTCTTTTATCTCGTTTACTCTACTTCTTCACTTTATTAATCGATTTTCAAAGTTCAAAGGCCAATCATTTTCAAATACACACATACTGAAAGGGGTGAGAGAGACTATGTACCTGAAGTTGGAGGAGGCTCGACACCCTCGTCATCGTCTGTTCCTGTCAAAACTTGCAGCACCTTGAAAGAGAGACCATGTTTGGAGCTTGGTGATCCCCCGCTCAGCCTCGGCGACTCCACTGCCTCGGGAGACGGCGAGCGAGGCTTCTGTGGCCTGTGGATCACATGGAGGGTCGGGGTCCGTCTCTGCTCCGGAGCTGGGTCCTGTCGCTGCATCACTTGCCTCTGCTGTGAGACTTGGTTCTGCACCGGTGGTTGTCTGTTCTCAGGGACTGGNTGGTGGTTGTCTGTTCTCAGGGACTGGTGGCGCTGGTGTCCTTTCAGGGATTTGATTCTGTGGTGCAGGTTTCTTCTCAGGGACTTTATGATGAATCATTTGTTTCTTCTGTGGGATTTGATTATGGATCATTTTATATACGTCAGACTGTGTGTAGTCCCTTTCGTCTGTAGCTTTCGGTGGTGCTCTAAAATAAATATGAGACATATTAAGAAACACAAACTCGGGTACAGTTATAAAATCACGCGATAAAAACTAAATTCAGTTTAAAGTTAAATACGCGTATGCTTTATTCCTTTTTAATGTCTTTCACTAACTGTCGCCCCTTATAAAAAAGATAATCAATCTTCTAGCATTTAAAGCCTTTCAATTTCAGCACACTACTTTTAATCCATCTTGAAAAGTTGTATCTTAAATTGTGGGGAATTGAATATTTAATAGACCCCATTATATCATTATAAGTACTCACTCGCAGGCAGCAAGCGATATGCCGCCTTTGGGTTTTCCCTGCCCGGGGGTGGCTGTTGGAGGCGCGACGGGCAAAACCTGGCCTTTTTCAAGAGCCTGCATTAGAATTTTCTGTGACGCCGAGGCCTTTGTTGAAGTCGGCGGTGGAGAGGTAGCTTCGCCGTGCTTCATCTGTTCTCTTAATCTGAAGAGATGCGTTGGAGAGATTTTGATTAATTCCCCATTTCTTAGGCCTAATAGTAACGCATTGTATCATTTACGAAAAAAATGTGATTACTGCACTATGAAATTATTACAAACAACATTTGCACTAGAAATACGTATTTAGTATCATGAGAAAGCATCCACTCTAAAAACACTTCGGTTTAAAATAACTGAAAAAATGGTTGAAACCAACCGATTCAACCGTTCAATATGTGTCCAACTAATAATCCGGTTGATGATATTGATTAATGATCGGTAGGTACATTGTAATTATAATTATGATAATTATATTTACAAATATAATAATTATTATAAATAAACAAGATCCATCAAGTCTTTCGATATTCCTGTCAAATGTCCTCAGATCAGAGATTCAATAACCGTTCCACACGGTCACCATGTTGACCAATCGACTGGTTGATCAATAACTGAATAAACCGTTGCTTGGAACTGATTTCAAGTCAACCGATTTTATGGGAAGGGTCAATAACCGATTTGTTTTTAGAGTGTGGGTCTTTTTTTAGTGACATGGCATAGTCTATTTTTTAGTGACGTGGGCATACAAATGGTGATTATATTTCACGATATAATGTGTAGTGTATTACAGCCCAGAAAGTTCACGCACTTTTTCCTTTGTAAAACTTCGCTCTCATTAAGGTCTAATTTTGCTCCTGGTGTGTAGGTGAATGGCGTCTTGCCATCTTTCCTGGTCATGGCAGTCTGTAGTTTGTCAGGCACATATTCTCCTGTAGTGTCCCCGTCAGAGAAAGACGAGCTGCCCCAGTTGTCAGACGATGAATGGTTATTCTGTAATGCATTTTGTTCTTGATATTGCTAGAAAAAATTAAAAATGATAAAATTGATTAATGATGCGAAAGTTGAATGATGTCACATTTAGATAACACTTTTTTTAAACAGACAGAAAAGTGGCCTTTTCAATAAAAAAAAAACATACAAAACTGCATTTTTCCGCAAAGCCTATATGATTGTTTCACATTTTACATAGAATAAGCAGACGATAAAACACCATGTAAAATTGTTTGGTTTCATAAAACAGATTCTCAGGAATTTTTTGTTTAACTAAAAGCAGTGCTTAGATGATAGTGCTTAGATGATTGTTCTTTCAAAAAACAAATTGCTCAGCAGCGTTTGCACAGTTTTCTTATTATGGAAAATTGTGTTACTTTAACTCTACCAAGTCGATTATATAACGTAAACTGGTAAAAAGGACAATTAGTGGAAAATCATAATCTGTAAAAATATATTTGGGTCAGATACGTATTTAAAAAAAATAATGCCATCATACATATATTTCAGGCATTTAAAAGCATAACTCTTTGTCTTCTAGGAACAATTTATATCATCTAACTAATAGGAAGGCCTATATTGCGGGTACACTGTATAAGGTTAATTTGACCTTGGCGCTTTTGAAGGGACTGACTTGACCTCAGAGCAGTACTCGGTAGCGCTCTCCTAGTTTTCAAATGATAGTTACGGTCAAGATTACAAGAAGGTAGGCGTCAACTTGACTGTTCCTACTGTCTGGCCAACTCACCACATAAATAGGAAAAGAAGTACCACCCGAAGTCTTCAAATCATGGCATATGGCAAGGAATATAAAGTTAGCGGACCCAAAAGTAATTACTTTCGTACATTTGGGGTTTATAACATTCCATATATATATTTCACACTCGCAATAATGGAAATGCATGTTCATTTCTAAGCTTACTTTCCGGCTAGGCCTTATGGACTAACAGTTGACCTACCTTCCGCCATGCCCCTGGCACAATGGGTCCTGGCGGGGGAGGAGGGGGTGGTGGGGGTGGTGGAGGAATGGCAGACGTCATGCTGTCAGGAGGCTCCGGAGGGAAATTCACCCTTTGGAGATTTCGTTGAGCAAAAGTTTGTGGTATTTGTGAAGAAAGGTGATTAGTTGAATCGGAATAATCCACGAAATCCGAGTCTCTGTGGTGATTCGACGTATTTTCTATCACCTTGTTTCCATAGTAATCTGACCTAGGCCCGTTTATTGAGTATATATTGTTAATGTCATGAATTCTTCTGTCTTTGAAAGTTGGCGTTAACCTCTGAGGCAGTAATCCTCCTCCCCTGAAAGGAAAAACGAAGTACCTTGGTTAAATTCAACAAGCACCTGATGATATATTCTCTATTCTAACCTTAATATGTTCATTCATGTTGAATTTTATCATTCCATAATTTGTGAAGTGTGTAGATACAAGTATTTAGGGTGATTTAAGATGCATCAAACTTACTCCACAGAATGGCACAATGGCCTAAAAGATAGCGAACAGTTTTATATCACTCACGTTATTGTGTTTAATGGGATCTCATCTGAGGCATTTTGTTTACGTACTTGTGCACTGTTAACTGAATAAGGTTTCCGCTATCTTTGATAAGTCCCTGTGCTTCTGCGTGTGTTAGAAATTCCGTTGGCTGGCTACCAATTTTTAATATGGTATCTCCCTTTTCTAATCCAGTAGCTGCTATACTGCCCCCGGAAACCTAAAAATATATAATTGACAGTGAGTTAGTATTGCAGCTTTTCTACCTGGTGTCACTATTGAGCAACGGGAACTCTCGTTTTTATTATCTTCACATCCCGGAATACTTCTGAGTAACAAGATTGGTCTATCTTTGCTAAATACCTGTGTGTGGTTTACTAGGCTGGGTTGACTCCGCCATATTGCTTAAGCAGTATAATATTCTTCTGAAATTTGACTGCTTCTTATTCTGGTTCTTACAAAAGACGTGAATTGCACCATACAGATAAACCCCAAAAAGATCAGATTTATCTTACCTAAAGACAGCATATTGGTAATGTGTCTTCCTTGGTCAGATTTATTAATAATTATGCAGAAGTCTATATAAATCTTAGATAATTTGCATGGAACGATTTAACCTACGATTTGGCCGAAATACTATTAACTGCCGTGCACATGCCTCCTATCACCTGATATTTCAACAGATAAACATAAAATTCAGGATAAATAATTGCTGATTGTATGACTTCATCCTTATATACATTTCTAGATCCAGATGGGATGTCCATATTTTACGAAACAGGCTAGCTTGCAACCTGTTCCTCGCATTTCTTCCAACATTTTAAGCTGAAGATAAGTGATATCTATTAAATGTCATTAACTTTTTTATGATTAGAATATAGGCTTTGGTAATGATTAAGCATTAGTGAGATACATATTTAAACCATTTTCCAGTACCAGAAACACGATGAGATTTTACGCAGTAACAGACGAGCAGATGGTTTTCACATCGACAAGCTGCATCGGTTCCTCGTTGATCACAGTTGCTTCACATATGCGGAGAAAGTTGGGATAAGCTATTCAACGAGCAATGAAAGGCTGCATGGCAAACAGTTGTTTTACAGGTGCATCTTGTTTCCACCCACTCGTAGTTTGTTTACGCGAGTCCCCATTCTAGGCCTTACAGGCGATTACAGATTGCAAACATTTTAGGTCGATCAGACGATTACATTTTATCCCATTTTTATTCTTACAGTCAATCTGATGACTCTTATTTTGAGCAAAATAAGATTGTTTTAACTTTATTCTCCTGTCAGACGACAATAATCATATATTGTTTACAATCCAGGTCAAATGGACTCACTTCCACTCTGTACTATAAAGGTAGGCTAAATTCATGTTGAAGGGAAAAAACTTCGTTCTTAAAAAATGAATGAAACAACACTGCTCAATTACTGGAACAATAGTAATAGCTTACATTTGAACTCTTTTGTTTTTCTTCTGACAGGTGGAATTGGTCCACAAATAGTGCAACGATACCTAAGATATTTATATCGTCCAAACCTTTTCGATTGCTCCATTGCATTGTCTTTATATTTGCTAGGTCAGCTAGTAAAGACCCCATCTTGTTTCTACGTTTAAAAACAACAAAATAGATGCCAATTAAGTTTCAAATCGAATTTGAGTGTGCTGGTCTATTTCTAAGCGAAATGTCGTTTTATTGAAAGCTGGATGCGGGATAGATACAACATGACAGCCTAAAATACTCGGAACGTTGGTTATAATTTAAGCGAGATTGAACTCTCTCAAAGGCCGCCCTGTTGCCCTGTGCATAACCTTCTGAACTGAATTGGATCTGGAACAAAAAACCAAGTGCACACAGCCCAAAATATGATTAAGGAATTGCAAAATACGGGCATCCAGACATATTCTTAACTGATCTTCGATTCCACTTCAGCCGGAATTTTCACACTATTTTAACAGGTAAATGTACGTACCCCACCCTTTTAAACTAAACCACAATATAGCCTATATTTCAAGAAATGCATCGATGGTGTAACAGCAAAATAACCTAATAGATTCAGGTGCTATCAGTCCCTCTTCACACTACAGGTGGAAAGAATTAATGCTGCGTAATACAGATTTTGAACAGAAATCCTCTTGGGCTTCCAGAAGATCTTGGATCAGAAACTAAGATGGCGGCATCATGGCTGCCTTAAACGTTACACCTGCACGCAAACGCTGGTCGTCTGCCCTTTTTTCAGGTGATACCACCGCATTTCGAAGCAACAGAAAGTAAACTGATTTTAACATTAAACAATTCAATGAACCATTCTGCCGGTTCTTAAGCCGTTTTTTTCTTTCATACATACCGTTCTAGATATCCCAGGTGTGGAGAGCAATATTACTCTCGAGGCCTCCTGGAACTTACAAGGTACGAAGAAAGGTTATTACCTGGTAATATATACATAAAACTCCCAGAAACACCTATTTACCGTTGCATTTTATACCGGCGTAGGCGTTATGCGCCTCAAGGGCTCCCCTGTACCATATAGCATTCGGTCGTGGGTCTAAACACTCGAAATGCCCGTTTTGTAGATTAATAATGTATCACAGGTGACCGGGTCTCTGCATTTTTAAGAAGTGGTTCCATCTTAGAAACAGGAGTTGTTCTACCTGTATGCCTCCGACATTTCACCCTTTTCTATGTACCTGACATAAATATGCATTGCCACTTAGCTCAAAAATCCAAGGGGACAGTAGGGATGTACATAGAAAATACTTTGAAGTTTGGTACTAAAAATAATAAGCGCGCTTGAAAATTAAGACCAATTAAGTTCCCCTCACATTTCGCAACACAACAGGCTATGAAAATGTAGTTATATCTAGGAGCCCTTTACTCCCTGCCGCGAAAAAGAATGCTTATCTAAGCATAGTATATCTGACAGGTGATTGATCAAAAAGGTCAAAAACGCTCTAATTCATACATCATCTGAGTCTCGGCAGGACGATGTCGAACAGGATATAACCGAAAGTCCTATAATCGTTATCAAGGGTGGCAGGGTTTCACTTTGACAACGAAAAAATATAAAATCTGGCCCAAAAATTCAAACGACACCTTCGTTATGTCTGTGGAATGATGCGCTAAAAAAGCAATGCATGCAGCCCCACCCCACCAACCCCATCTTGTATAATAGGTCTTCTATGGCAGAAGACTTGAGTAATCTGGAACTACTGCGTCAAGCTCTTCAGAACGAATGGGGCAATATCCCAAAATACAGACTTGTGACCTTTATTGAAAGCATGCCGCGCCTCGTACAAGAGATAATTGCAGTACGGGGTAGACAAACATGCTATTAGACATGCGACCTTTCAAGAGCACACTCTAGTGCAAATTGTGTATAAATTTGGTGACATTTGACGTTGTCTTTTTAATTCTATGGACATATATTTATGGAAATCGATTTGGAACATCCGATGAGGGGTGCATTTTCTATGTTAAATAAATTATTAAAAATTGTTGATATCTACACCAGTATTGTGTTTTTCTGTACATGTACTATAATTCATGTTAGACATGGTATTTGGAATAAAAGCATTAATTGAAACGATATGCAGTGGTGATGTGATAATTTGTACACAAAAACACATGAAATTGAAGGTCTAACAACCTTTTTCGTCAAGAGAGTATTGTGTACTTTCGCTTAACCATTCCAATTGGATTTCCCCTATATATATTAGATAACAGAATGGAAAAGGTATCTTTAACTTCTCTATCATGAAACACAGACCTTGACACTATATCCATGCTCTTGACAAATAACTTCTGCTATCAAACCATTTTGCAAGACTTCTTTTTCTTGTTTTAACTTACATAGTGGAATTTGAATAACAACAATTTTTCACACAGTCTGCGTGTATTGTTCTAAAAAAAGAACGTCTAGAATTGAGAGACTCAACAGAAGGTGATTTCTTATTAAAGATGATCACTGAAACAAGATTTGGACGTGGAAATGAGAAAAAGCTTAATTTCCGTGTTTTCTTAAGACTGTTCCCTGAATCTATAAACATGCTGCATGATAATAATACCAAAAGGACGTTTTTTTCTAAATCTGGTTGCCCCCATCATTAGAATAAAATATTATTCCCTAATAACACTATTCTAAAATACGCCGATACCTCGCGTGACTTTCAAACATAAAATATAACCTTGGTCTCTACTAAACTGTAATTGAATTTTTTTATAAAGATTTGAGAACGGTATCGGGGCCTTGAATCCAACTCATGAAAAATATCCCATAAAACAATCCATCATTGGCTTTTTTATGCACTTCGTTAATGAAACATGTGCTTCAACAAACACAGCATTTCAACCCGATAAATCCAGAAAACAATATCATTTTTACTTAGAATTGCTGTTTGCATCACGGCGCATAGTATAACCATCTTCGTTTCCTTGAAACTAATTAAATTGAAATTGGATGGGGCCGGACAGAAAAGGGGATGTGGTGGAGTTTTTTTTTTTTTTTGTCATTTTAAGTAAACTTTGAGACACTGATACAATCTTAGAGATTTTTCTAGAGGCCAGCTTCTGCTAAATGGACGTTTTTTCTCCAAATCCCACTCACCACCCTGACTACTTTTATGCAAAAAAGGTTGGATGCTACCACCGACGCGCAGACAAACTGGTTTAGCCTTTACAAGAATGTATGAGAAAGGTTAATGTTGATAGTTTGGTTATCAAAATATTGAATTATTCTAAACAGCAAACAGATCCAAACCTTTAATATACGCTCGATATATAGTCTCTGAATACCAAACTGTTTACTCTAAAATATTGAAAATGTGGTGTCTGTGTATCTGCAGCACTTCTGCTAAACAGATTTGATTGGTCGACGAGTGAGTTGCTATGGAAACGAGTTATCTCCTGGAATAACTGGTGATTGCAGCTATAGAGCATTCCATTCAACCCGAGCATTTCATGTAAATAAAAGACGAAAATAATTCAGGTTCAGAGCATATCATTAACAATCTAACAGAATCTTGTGAGAGGCGCATTCTTAAAACAGTTAGGTCTACTAAACTGTTTATGGCCACCAGCCTTTCGATTGATATGGTGCATAGTTGGTGCATAGTACACCAATTTTTTACAATATATTAACTATTATAAGCTCCAAGTGCAGTGAACACGTACGTGTTTTAAGCAGTTTAATGGCATTTTTGTGAAGCGATAAATGATAAACAAGTGAACACTTTTTTCTTTCTCTCTCTCTCGGCTAGACTGCAGTGCTTAACTAGCTGTCATTCTGAAGTGCCCCTAACGTTTGTTGAACGTGTTTAAAATAAACTTGACTAAACAACCTCCGGGCAGAAAACAATGAGAAGCAAGCGGCGTATCAGATTTCTTAGCCAAGCACTGGGTCTTCTCACTGAACGTCTGATTTATTACTCAGATATACGTACGTCTTATTCAACTGATCATCTGGTAATGTAACACCGTCCAAAACGATTATTGCACCTTTATTGCCCTTTACACTCTTCCAGGTATTCTTACAAGCCGAAACCACTAATCGTTTTCCCGTGTGGAACGCCGACACAAACACAGACCCGAGAGACGAGCAGCATATGATGACATGACAATCGACTAGAACGATCAAAACTTACCCTTTGAATTGTTAAAGGTTGAAAAAAGTCTGCCCCTCCTTGTAAGCGGAACCCCCAGGGCACATCCGAAGTAGGTCTTTGTAGCCAGACAGTTTCCATCCCCTAGAAACTAGGGTACTTCGGG